GCCTGGGCAAAAGGGAGAGGCTCCCATCTCAGTCAGTAGCTGGATACTGTGGTGAGCACCTGTCATCCCAGCTACAGTAGGAAGCGTTAAACTAGGAGGATCACTGTCCAGACTGACCTGGGCAAAAAGTGAGATCCTACCTCCAAAATAATTGGCCACAGGGCTGGAGTCGTGGCTCAAGTGGAAGAGCACCTGCTTAGCAAGCGAGAGGCCCTGAGTTCAAACCCCAGTGCCACAAAAAAGATAAAACAATCTGTTCTTGAAGCAGTGTGTGCATCTTGTTAGAAAACTTCACTAGCTTTCCTTGATGAGAACTGCTAAGACCAGAGCAAGGAGCAATCTCAGGGTAGTTTAGATTTGCACTTCCCTGGTGGCTAAGGCTGAGGAACGTTTTTTCCTGTATTTATTGGCCATTTGTACCTGATCTTTTCAGAACTTCCTGTTCCGTTCATTTACCCACTTATAAATTGGATTATTTATTCTTTTGGTGTTTAACGTTTTGAGTTCTTTATCCTGGACATTGAGCTCTTGTCACATGAATGACAAAGATTGTTCTCCCATTCTGTAGGTTGTCACTGTTGATGGGAATGTAAATTAGTCTAACCACTATGGAAATCAGCATGGAGGCTCCTCAGAAAAATAACAATAAAAAAACTACCTTATGTTTCAGCTATGCCACTTCTGGGTGTATACCCACAGGGACCAAAGGCAGGTACAGCACTGGTACCCGTGTTTATCATGGCATTATTCACAGTAGTCAAGCCATAGGATCAGCCCAGGTAACCGTCAGCAGAAGAATGGATAAAGAAAGTGTGTTACGTGTGCGCACACGCACGTGTGTAAATGGAGTGTTATTCAGCTGTGAAGATGAGCAAAATCGTGTGTGCAGGGAAATGGGTGGAACTGGAGATCATCAGGGAAAGTGGAGTAAGCCAGACTCAGAACGACACATAACCCATGTTTTCTCTCGTGTGGAACCTAGATTTTTAAAGAGATAATGAAAGAGGGGGTGCTCTGTGGGAAGAAAAGGAGGGTCAGCAGTAGGGGTGAACAAGTACAAGAGGGTGGGGGGCTTGAATATGATCAAAGCACATTGTCTGCATATGTGAACATGTCATCATGAAACCTGTTATTTGTATAATTAAATTTTAAAAAGAGACCTCCTAGCCGGGCACTGGTGGCTCATGCCTGTAATCCCAGCTACTCAGGCAGCGATCAGGAGGATCGAGGTTCACAGCCAGCCCAGGCAAATAGTTTGCAAGACTCTTCTGGAAAATACCCAACATAAGAAAGGGCTGGTGAAGTGACTTAAGTGGTAGAGCGCCTTCCTAGCAAGCGTGAGGCCCTGAGTTCAAACCCCAGTACTGCTTTTAAAAAAAACTCCTAGCCAGGCATTGGTGGTTCATGCCTGTAATCCTAGCTACTCAGGAGGCAGAGATCAGGAGGATCATTGTTCGAAGCCAGCCCAGGCAAATAGTCCTTGAGCTCCTATCTCAAAAAAACCCATCTCTCTCTCTCTCTCTCTCTCTCTCTCTCTCTCTCTCTCTCTGTCTCTCTCTCTCTCTCTCTATCACACACACACACACACACACACACACACACACACACAAACTGGTGGAGTGCTCAAGGTGTAGGCCTTGAATTCAAGCCCCAGTACCGCAAAGAAAAAAACAAAAAACCCCTCCTAGTGCAGAGTCAGTGCAGGGAAGGTAGATTGAATTGAACCACCAATCCTGCCCACACTAGCTGCCCTTGCGCTGCTTTTAATGGTATGGTTGTTTCTGCTTCTTTCATTGGTTCCCTCGGCCATCTTGTCACACACATGGTCCTCCTTCATATCTTACTCTGAACTTCCTGCAGGGTCTTCCTTTCCCTCTGGGTAAGCTGAGGCTTTGGGATTCTCTGCCCTTCCCACGCCTTATGTCCTCATAGCACATGGGCAACCCCGGCCTTCACCTCCTCTCTTCTCGTCAGGATTCTTAATGCTTCCTCTGTGTTTATGTGCTCAGTAAATCTTGTGTGCTTTTTTGAGACATAAAACCAGGTTTTCACTGTAATTGCAGTGGCCCTGGTCTGTGCGGACCTGAGCAATGTACCAGGGTGGCCCCTCAGTCTTGTTGAGCCCCACGCCAGCACCCCAGGGCCTCCCTCAAGGGAAAGGGGCTGGCATCAAGAGCAAATAGATTTTTTTTCCCCCTTATATCGCCATCAGTCATAGAAAAAGACTTCATATTTTAGTTTACTCCCTGTTTGCAGTATTGTTTTCTTTTTCTTTTCTGGTTAGAATAAAGCCTTTGATTATAGCAAAGGCAGCATATGTGCACTGGTGAAAGTCAGGAGATGCAGTCAGAGGCTGGGGAGGGGGTGGAGAGAGGATTTAATGGGAGCAAGGTGCATTGGATAGAAGGAATGACTCCTTAATATTCTGTAGCACACACAGTAGGATAACTACGCTTGACCACAACTGATTACATATTTCAAAACAGCCAGAAGAGAGGGTTTTGAATGTTCCTAACATAAAGACACAAGGACTGTCTGGGGTGGTAGATATGCCAGTTACCCTGAGAGGATCAGTAGACATTGTGTACATGTATCTGTGTGTACACACATAAACTGGAGTTTTATTTTTCTCTTACTGAGAGAAGAAACATTTATCTTCTTCACCACATCACTAAGTTTTAAGCTGCACATTGATTTTATGTGTGGAAGGAATCCATTCCCTTCTTGGGGATGTTCTTCGAGTTCTCATTTCTGCTGCTCGCTTCCTGGGTTTGCTGTCCAGCACAACTTGGGCTTTCTTTTAATTAGACTTTTGGGTCAAGTCCCATTTCCTAAAAATATCCCATTCCATCATCCCTTCCTCTGTATTTCTTTGTTCTCTCTCCCTCTCTCCCTCCCTCCCTCCTGAAGTGTATCCTAAGTGCTTTCTCTGCTCTGAGTCATGAGTGTCTGAAGAGGACTGCTTCCTCTTATATTTGATGAGTACTTTGGTGGAGTATGGACTTCTGTACTTGCACAGAGTGCAAGGAAAAGGGCGTCATGAGGCCTGAGTCTCACTCAGCTCCCCATCTGTAACGTGGTGGGGGCAGGGATGGCTTTCCAAGGTGGATCCCTGGGCTGCTGAGTATCTGAGTTAAGTGGGCAGGGCTCTTGGGAAGAGCATGTGGCAGGGTGAGGAAGAAGGCCCAAGCTGTGATGTGGGTCATCAGCACACGTCAGGTGACGCCCCCCCCCCCACCGAGTTCGGAGCTGGTGGCCCAGCAGAACTGTCCCCACTTGAAGCATGGGAGCTGGGGGTTTGTCCCTCCAGCAGTCATGGAGGTCTCTGAGAGAGGCCTGTCTGGCTACCTGCACTCCTGGCAGCTTGGGTGAGTGCTGTGGGCCATCGAGGGTGAGCTGGGCTGTGTAGCCAGTGTCCCCTGCCACTCATGTGACCTATGTGGAGCGGGACCCTGGGCAGTGGCAATGTACAAGGGAGGGAGGCTGTGTTTGTTTCCCAAGGTTCGTGTAGCTTTGTGGGTCAGATGGGAATATTTGGAAATTACTGTCAGCCCCCCGTATGTATGGGTTCAACCGACTACGATGGGAAAAACAAGTTCCAGAAAGTGCCAACAAACAAGGCTTGAATTTGCCATGCCCTGAGAGCCATGCTGAATCCACATGACCAAAGTGACATTGAGCACGTCCTGGTGAGGTCTCCCACCGGTTCCCAGTCCCCAGTCCCTCTCGGGCACGGCCCTTTTGAGCGTTGACAACCTCATACCTGGTTCACATACTTCGTAGGTAGGCCTGTGATAGCTGCATCTGTTCTGAACGTGAGTAACCTCTTGGTTTGTTTGTTTGGGGTGCTGGGATTTGAACTCAGGGCCTTTGCTTGCTAGGCAGGTGCTCCACCACTTGAGCCATGCCCCCGGCCCACAGCCTGCCTTTCCTTGTCATTATTCTCTAAGCAATACAGCATAGAGCCACTTAACGTAGCGGTCCTTTACGTGGTATTAGATACTGTAAGTCACGTCGAGGTGTCTGCGGGAGGAAGTGGGGCATTTACAGGCAGGCGCCACACCATTTTGTACGAGCAGCTTGAACATCTGTGGATTTTGTTTTCCCTGGGGCTCCAGGATCCATTCCCATGGATGCTGAGGGACCACAGTACCTCTTTTGATGGGAATCAAGGCAGTTTACCTATGGTCGTCAGAGGATCTGTCTGGTTTCGTGGTAGGCAGGGGGGAATGAGGCTGTATCTCCATACTTTACTTATGTAACAGACACAGCACTGACCACGGGCCTGCACTGCCCTTAGTGCTTTAAAATTGTAGCTCTTAATTCTCCCGCAGCCCTGTGAGGCAAACATGGTTATCTCCTCCACTTTATAGACCAGAAAACCGAGGCACAGAGCAGAGACCACAGCCCACAGTTGGGTTGCAGGAGGCACAGCAGAGTCCCCTTCATCACTGCCTCTCTCTCGTCTGTCCTGCTCTCCTGCATCTCTCTGTAGACCAGTCGTTTGCACACCTGTACCTGCACTCACAGGCTAGATGCACCTCCTACCATCCAGCCCGTCTCAGGCAAGGGCCTGAGTCACGTGGTGTTCCTAGGCTGCCCCAGGAGTGGATGTAGGGGAATCCAAGAGGTGTCTTTAGTCAACTGGGCAGAGCCCTGGGAGGCAGGTGGTATTAAAAGGATCAAGGGCCAACACTTGGTTGTGTAGCTGTTATCCCCCTTCTGTGGATGTGTCACCAGAAGCTGGGCATCTTCCTACTATCCATTGCCAATTTCTGGTGCTATCAGTGGAAACTGCCTGGTGTCAGGACAGGATGGGCTGCCTCTCCTCCCAGGGTTTTCTTCTGGGTGGCTCAGGGCAGCTCGTCACTCCGAGGGCACTGGGCAGCCACAGGCAGGCCTCGCTTCCAGGCTCTGCAGGTTGTCGGGGGTCTCCCTGGAGGGCTGTGGTTCTTGCAGGCAGTCACTCACTCATTACTTTCTTTTTCTGCTCTCTGCAGCCGAGTGTTCAAGACAGACATGGAGCTGGAGGTTTTGCGCTACACCAATCGGATCTCCAGCGAGGCCCACCGGGAGGTGAGTTGGGTGGCGGCTGTGGTTGGGTGGGCAGTGTTGCTGTGTGTGGAGCTAGAGAATCCCGTGGAGATGTGCCACCGTGGTGAGAGGGAGAGCCACGTGAGAGGTGGGAAGTTTCCCATGGAGGACTCTTCTCTTCCCTGCTGGGCACAGAGCAAAGACAGGAGAGCCTCTGCCGCCACTCATCCTAAGACACCCACCTTCATGAGCAGGTGGGCACTGACACCCAGGAACTTCCCAAAAAGGGGAGTGCAGGTCCCCTTTCTACCATCTTGGCCCCTTTCAGCTTGTTTTAAATAATCTTTTTTCCGATGCCAGGCACCGGTTGCTCATGCCGGTAATCCTGGCTTCTCAGGAGGCAGAGATCAGGAAGATCATGGGTGTAGACCCCAAGTTCAAACCCCAAGTACCACCAAAATAAAACAAAAAATCTTTTATCTGTACTCTGATTCCATCACACTTATTAGCATCATCCACAATCAGAAAACATTTTCACATGGTGGTTTTCCAAACCTCCCACTCACAGAGGAACGAGATCAGATAAGGGAGAGTTCAGTTCAGAAGCCATTCAGGGTGCCTGGGATACCCCAGTGCCTACCCAGAGACTCCCACGGCTTCGTGTTAGGAAACGACAAGGTGAAATCTCTTGTACAAGTTAGTTTTCTCTGTTTTGTGAAAGTTAAGCCAAGAAAACCTTTCGGAGACAGTCATCACAGATTTCTTAGCCTTAGAGGCCCCCAAACATTGGGGTTAGACCTGTGCTGCCCATCGCCCCTGAGCTGTGGCTCGGAGCGTGGGGTTTACCGGCTTCAGAGTGGAAGTGCTCCATGGTGGTTTAAATGAGCTATGTATGGATTTTGGAGGCTGTAAAGGTCCAATTTGTCACAGTTCTACATCACTGTGCACATATCAGCCTCCTCCTTTTTTTTAGAACTTCTTTTGAAAAAAGTGCTCTGCATTATTTATGAGGCTGTGATACTTATCTGCTTAATACAAATGTCTTTGCTTAATATCCATCTTCCAGGTAATGAAAGCTGTAAAAGTGGGAATGAAAGAATATGAGATGGAAAGGTAAGCTGTGTCTCTCTGGGTAAAGATTAAAATGTAAAAAACAGAAATTTATGTTCCCTGAGCCAGTAGCAGACGAGGCTCCAGAGCGCTGCTCCCAGATCAAGTGGTGGGGATTACAAACCGGCTGTGGGATCCGGGCTTAGATTATTTTTCTTCTGACTGTGGTCACCTCCTTGGCTCTTTCAGAGTGTTTGATGGTAATAGTCTTTGATTACTTTTCAGGGTGCTTTAGTGCCCCATCATTCCATTGGACTTTGTTTCTGCAATTTGCTGGAAACTTTACCAAATAGCTGCTATTGTGACTCTGAAAGCCACTAGTAAAACAGCTTGCCACTTTTATGTGTAAACACTGCCATTATGTCTGCTGTGCTTGGAGGACCGGGTCGAGGGGTGGTTAAGTGGCTCATGAAGCACTTTGCAGAGCAGATCTGGTCTCCAGCTCCAACTAGGCCTGTAGGGAGCCAGCACCCCTGAGCTGCACCTGGGGCTACCTGGCTGTGGTGAGTGTGGCTGGCCAGCTCAGCTTCACCCCATGGGCTGAGCTTGCTGCTGCCCTGACCGAGGCCCAGACTACCTCCTCCCCCCCATGTCCTACCAGTGGGCATATCACCTTGGGAGGGAACACTGAGCGCTGCTGTTCCCTCTCCACCTGGCCTTCCCTTTCCTATTGGCCTTGTGACAGCTTGATTGATATCTGCCCCACTTTGTAGGCACCAAGTGTACCTCAGGCCACCCTCAAGGTTGCTCCGTGTGACTGGCTCTGGGAGCTGGTTCCATGTCACCATCTGCCATGGTCTGGATGTCATTGTCCCCCAAGGTTCACATGATGGAAACTTGGTCCTCAGTGTGGCAATGTGAGAGGCCAAGGGACTTCTAAGTGGTGAGGCCTAGTGGGATGTCCTTGGGTCACTGGGGGCCCTGCCCTTGGAGGTATTAAGGTGATTGTTATGAAGCCCTGCATAAAGGTGAGTTTCGAGAGAGAATTTTTCTAAAGTGAGCTGGGCCCCTCCCAGCCCTCTGCTTTCCCGCTGGGCAATGGAATCTCTTATTCTTTTGTGTGTCCTCCCGTGATACCCTTCACCATTGGGCTCTCTCCAGAGGCCAGGCCAGTGGGCCTTCTGAGCTTGATCTGTCAGCCTCTTCTTTATAAAGTAGCCCACCTCGGACATTTCATTATAATAACAGAAGAAAAGATTAGTGCACCCTCCTAGCCCTCTGACCTGCCTGCTGTGTCAGCGCAGGGAGCAGGGCTGAGCTTCTGTATTCTGTGACTTGTGGATGGGGTTCTCTTGCATAGTCTAACTCTGAAAACAGTCTGAACAGTGCCTAGTTCTCTCTTCTTATCCCGGCAGCAAGAGGTTAAAATGGCTTTGCCCTGGCTGCTGTGACATCCAGGAAGCATGTAACAAGTGTCCATCATAGTCCCAGCTCTGTGTCACTGAGGAGGATGGGGAAGGGCAGGCAGAGCCGTCCAGCATTTGTCTCTGTGAGACCCACTGCAGTGCTGTCTGGTGAAGTCTCAGGACCCCTCAAGGATCTGGGATGGGAAGAGAGCTGTGGGGACTCCTAGGGGGCGGGGCTGGGCAGCAGGTCCCTCAGATTGGCTCTGAATCCTGTTCCCAATCGAGTTGACTCATAGTGACCCACAGCTATGCCTCAAATAAAAATAACCAAGAAATTGGAGCAATAATACAGCTAGTTGCAGTGTGGAGCTGTGCTGTCCACTGCATGTTACAGCCTTGTGCCCTGAGCTGCGGGGTTCAGCTCTGGAGTTGTTCCCAGGAGGGGCCCTGGACCCCAACTCCCCATCACGTCCCCACCACGCCTGGTACAGCTGTGCACAGCACCCCATGGGCACCAAGTTGGAGGTCTTTACCCCTTTTCCAAGTAATGGAGGCTTTCGTTTTCTCTTTAACTGGAAATTTTTAAAAATCTAAAAAAGTAGAAAAGCACAATGAACTCGAGGTCCCCCATCTGTTTTTGTGCTTAGTTTGTTTTTTTGTTTGATTTTGCTGGAGTGTTTAAACCCGAGATGCTGTCGTTTCACTTGTAAATGTTTCAGGAAGGTGTCTCGGTTAGTGAGGATGTCTTTCTCTTTACATAACCACCCTGCCATTATCACATCTAACCAAATTAAAAATGCAGTCGACTCTCCATATCTCTGCGTTCCGCATCACAGATTCAACCAGCCGTGCCAACCATGTATCAAACATATTTTAGAAATGTAACTGAACATGTGAACACTTTTTTTCTTATCATTATTGTCTAAGCATGCAATGTAGCCACTATTTACATTGTATTATAAGTAGCTAGAAGTGTGTGAGAGGACATGGTGTAGGTTATATGCAAATGCTGCCTCATTTTATATAAGGGATTTTGGTGTCCGTGCAGGTCCTGGAACCAGTCCCAGTGGATGGATACTGAGGGTCAACTGTAATTCCTTAATATATATTATCAATATCTAGTCCATATTGGTCTAAAGTGATCTTTTGGGAGTGGGTGCGTTCAAGCTGGGATTTAAACAAAAGCTCCCCTTTGCCCTTGGCTATTGCTGGAAAGGGAGTCCTCGCCAAGCGGAGCTCTGTCTGCAAGCTGCTCTCCCTCCTCCCCCACCCCACCAGGTCCCCGGGTTGGCCCCACAGCTGCCTCCTCTGTGGAGCAGTGTCATGAAGCCAGAGGCTGAGACCATGTGAGTGGGAGCATGCAGGGAGGCTGGAGGCCAGGAGCCCTTCCAGGGGAGGCTGAGTGGACCCATTCAGTGATGGGCCAGCTGCGCTCACTGTTGTGCTCCTGCCGTGTGCCACACCCATGTGTGACCCATGATGAGATCCAGAGGGGAAGCAGTGTCTGTCTGTGGGCCTCAGCCAGAGGGAGCCATCTGATCTGTGGGTCCCTGATAGCCTAGAGCAGGAGGAAGGGAGGGGATAGGAATGGAGACACCCCAAGGAAAAGTGGAGGCAGAGGTGACAGTGATGAGACCTGAGGTTGTTCCTGAAGGGGACAGGTGGAACAGAGGGTACCCCTCCCAAAGGTGGTGGGGAGATGTCCACGGATGTCTTAATATCCTGGCCCCTGACTGCTGGAGGTGGACTGATCTCTGCTCCAGCTCCCTCCCGTGGGCTTGGCTCTCTGTCACTGCTGGGCTGGTTCTGTGTCAAAGTGTGCGGTCTGTGTCCACAGGAGCCGGGAGGCATCTTCTCAGGAGCTGTGTCTCATCTGTCTGTAGTGTCAGGAAATGTGCGTGGGTTGGTTCAATGGATGGATGGAAGAGAGAAGAAAGGTTCTGAGCTATTTTTCTACCATCCTCTGTGCCAATAGGGACTTCAGAACTCTTCTCTGAACTACTTGGCAATAAAAGTCTTGTAACACAGGTAGTGTCGGTTGCTGGAAGTGGAGGGAGGTGGGCAGGGCGTGGTCCTCTTAACTTAACACAGGCTGCACTGCTGCCCAGGAAAGCTGGGGGTAGCCAGAGAGCTGTGCAGGTCGTGGGCTCATAAAGGTACCATAAGTGAGCTGCTCTATTGCCTATACTGATGGTACCCTGCACATGTGGTGGACAGCCCTAAAACCTGCTGGACCTACTGGAACACGGTGCCCCAGCCCCACAGATTGGGAAAAACGCCAGGGCCTCCCAGAAGGCAGAACCACTGGAGGCAAGACTGGGAAGCCAGAGTCACCACCCGGACAGCTGTGCTCAGACTCAGAGGTTCAGGCCAGAGACTCCATCCTAAGCCTCGCGCACCCCCACCTTTTTTTTTTTAATTCTCTAAGGTTTGCTGTCCAGTCTTGAGGGCACATGAGCAAAGAGTAAGCCAGCCTATGGCACGTTGAAGATGACTCCTTCTCCGTGCGTGCCCGAGCCAGGTTTCAGAGGAAATGCAAATTGCGGTGCAGTAAATTGTGTTAAACCAATAGGACGCTAACGTCTGGGCAAATCTAACAGCATCTGACGGCAGGCCCAATCAGAGGACCTGTTTCACTGCCTCTGTTAGTGTCAGTGGCATAGCCGGCTTGTCGCCGGCTGGCGTGGGCTGGCAGCTGAATCAGTTACCTGCAAACACTCGTTTGGAGCGTGCTCAATTGGCTGTGTGAGCAGGCTCCTGTTCACATTTGCACGAGGAGATTAACAACTCAATGTCTGGAATTATGCTTTCCTTCCCTCCAAGCTGTGGATGGGTCATTTGGGGCCCTTTTATGACAGCTGCAGGGGTGGAGGGAGAGTCATTTAAAAGACAAGTTCTGTGAGGTGTGATGGGGTCAGTGTGACCTCATCCCCTGGCTAGGATTTTCTCTTGACAAACACTTGACCCTGGCTGGAGACCCTCAGCAAGGCCTGGGCTGTTCTGCGCAGATCTGTCACAGGCTGCAGTCAGAACTTGCCTAGCTGTATTCTTTTCTCTTTGCTTTAAAGGTCTTATTGCTTTTTCCTGCCCTTTGGACAAATGGAGTGAGTCATGATTCTGTGTTCACTGTGCCTGTTGAGTCTAGATTTGGGGAGGGGGAACACAGCCAGAGGATCTTTATCTCCCACCACACACACCCCACATCCCTGCACTTAACCATACACACACACACACCACAACCTCCACCCCTACACACCTGTGCACACACACACACCTCTGACAGCTCCCATATACACCCCCACTCCCCACCTCGCCCCATGTGGACAGTCCATCCAGACCTCCAGGTAGTGGATCTTCCAGTTTACTCAGGGAGCATGTTGTAAAACTGCAGCCATAGTTTTGTTAAACTGGCCCGTTTCTTTTTTCTTTTTTCTTTTCTGTCTTTTTTAGGACTAGAGTCTTTAACTTCAGTAAGGGCAGTCAGGAGGGGGAGGCCTGCCTGCAGACTCTGCTCTCCTCTTGAGGTACACAGGGCTGCTGGGCATAGGCAGCTACAGCAGGTGTGCTCTGTGGGCCCCTGAGGGCACCTCTTGCTCTGGGCAGGGCTTCCCTCCTCCCCTGCTGCGTCAGGCTCTGGCTTCTTTGGGGTGGGGATGG